TTTGATATTAAGTGTTAGTAAAAAAGTTTGGCTTTGAATTAAATTCAAAAATAGTGTAATTTATTAGTAAAGAAATGTTTAATGCAAATAAAATATTTGATAAAATTTTATTTTTATAAAGTGTTTGGAAAAATAAAAATAAAATATTTTGATGTAATAATAACGAGGTATTAAAATGCATGTTTCAATGCACAAATGCGTTTAATAAAATAATAAAAAGCAAAATTAATTTATTCATAGTTTTATTATTTTCACTCAAACCGGGAGGAGAACTGAATCGTTAAATTAATTATTAATTTTAACTTAAATTAATTCACAAATTAATCGCTTTCTAATTGAATTAAAAAACACTTGTGGTGTTGGATATTATAATTTGTAAACAACTTGTAAATAATATATTCAAACAAATAGTTTCAAAAGTATTTTCCCACAAAATAATAAAGTTTTTAGAGTAGAGATGAAGTGATGTGTTTGGGATGAGTAGTGAGTCGTCTCCTTAAAGCCTACTTTCCCTCCGATTTGTTGTCAACATATTTTGCAATGTTATGGAAAACTACTGATTCATTGAATTTCTGCATCCATTGCTTAATCATTGCACTCTTATCTCAATATTACTTCACTTTTATTCAAAATTTTCAGTCATTTTTGTCTTTTATTATTCAAATCAATGCGAGAAATAGTTTTTGGTTTTGTCTCCCAAACAGTCGATTAAAATGAAAACAAAATTTTATTAATAATTTTTGCTCAAAAATAATAAAATATTTGCAAAAATTAACATAACTTTGGATTTGGTCTCAAAATTATCTCCAAAATAATGTCACTTTTATTTCAAAGCAAATATCATTGCATTCAAAGACAATCCAGAAGATACTTCTGGCAGTGGATGATCAATGTGTTCAATAAGTGAGACAATGAGCCCATAATGTAACCAATGATTGACTCGTTGATCATCTCAGACCTGATCCGCAGCGCCTCCAAGAGGTGGGCGCCGACAGAGCGGCCGCTGAGTGGCTCATCAAAAACGGTGCGGCAGTCAAGTGGACTGATAGTCACCATTGGGTCAAAGACTATGACCTCTTGGAGGACGATGTGACCAAACGCAGCATCAAAGAGATCGACGCCACCAACTCGTCCATCACTCACATTGGCTTCCCTCACCTCAGTATCTCATATCACATCCAATGATTGCATTCATGTTATAACATATCATCTCATTGTTTACCACAAAACAGATGGTTTGCACTCTTTGGACACATTTATCATCAAAAATAATGGATATATTGAAGACAACGCCATTGAGATGTTAGGCATTTGTAGTAATAGTTTAACACATTTGGCAATAATTAGTTGCATTGGAGTCACAGACAGAGGAGTTCTGTCCTTAACTCAATTAAAGTGATTATTTACCATTCATTTGAAACACTGACTAATTGTTATCATTAACTTATTGACAGAAATCTCAAACATCTTAAGCTCTTTGATTTGCCGTCAGTTAAAGACAGAGAGAAGTGTTTGAAAGATCTGAAGAGTGGTCTGAAGTGCGAAATCGATTGGAAAGAAGCAAAACCAAAGAAATTGTTATAAAATCATAACTTAATTACTG